TTATTATTGCATGGTCAATAAAAATTCTTGTTTCATTGATTAACGCGAAACAATGAATTTTCTAAAGATATTTTTTATTACACTCTCCATAACTATCGCAGTCTCGCGTGCACAATTTGGCGCTCCAAGTATGGGAGGTAATCCTATGACCGGACAAAGTCCGGGAAGTGGTGGTGGGTTTGACCCGACAAATCTCATGGGTAATAATCCAAACGGCAAAGGAAACAACGGATTTGATCCATCAAGCCTTTTGGGTGGCGCCAACCCGTCAAGTGGAGGTGGCATCGATCCGGCGATGCTCACAGGTCAGCCACAACCACAAAAACAAGCACCTAAAAGTGTACCTCAAGGCAATGGTCAGGGGGCGCCCGCTAAAGCTCCTTCACCACAAGGTACGGGAAAAACTCCAGCTCAGCCCTCCAACACTGGAGAGAACAAGGCACCATCTTCAGGAACTCCCAATGCAACTCCCACTAAAAGTAAGCAAACAAACCAACATTTTTTATTCACTTATCGTATATATGACTTTGTAAAATTTTGGGACTTTATGCGATGCAGGCAAAACCGCAGCGACACCAGACGTTCGAAAACTTGCGTGGCAAGAAAAAGAAAAGGCATGCATTTTGGTTAGGTAGGCATGAAGATTTTCCTTTCGATCTCGTGGTGACGTTTCTAATGAATCGCACAATTTCATTTAGTGGGCCTCCTAACAATACTATCATCCAACCCCAATCCAAGCAGCGCATATCATGGAACCAGTCCCCTTGTCAAATGAGTGCGAGAGTTGTCGGAATGTTTCACGTTTTTTTGTATAATAATTTGCAAGCGGTTCCAGATGAGAAAGCAGCAAAGAAACGAGACATAGTAAAAAGGGATTACTCTTCTAATGGCAAGGTTAATTGAAATCCAATAATTTTTTGAATGATTTTTTTTTGTGATCTTACTTTCTTTAAACATTTACAGATCATATATGACTGGGGTCCGTATCCTATCGCCACCAATTTGACCAACACGACTAATAATTATGACTGGTAAAAGTCAATTAATTCATGCATCTTACTTTTTTTTCGCCAATTGTTAACACTTCGACTTTAATCAAGGACCGTTCCATATCTTTATAACGAACCTCGAATTAAGAACGCGTCGAATTTTTATATCCGAGTTGAAACAATTTCGAGATCAGGGATCTTTGGTGCCACTCCGCCTTTAGGAGGTACTTACGGACCAATCCAAATCGCCATGAAGGAACCTCCGTTAGGTTGGAACGAAACTCATGCCGATTCTTCTGTTTCATCTGGTGCTCAAAAAATGATTTCGCCCCCATCAGCGGCGATTAAGATTAATGTTACGAGACTCATATTTATTATTGGTTTATTGGTCATTTTCAGCACAGCTTACGTAATGCGAAGTTAAATTTCAACAAATGTACATACAGTACGAGAAAAAGACAGACACTAACACATTATAAAAACAAACATCTAATGTAATTACAAATATCTTGAATATAATATACACAAATAAAGACATTTATTGTAATTAAGAAAATTTTTTCATACGCTACACGTTCAATGTAATTATAAAGTAATACTTTTGGAAAAAGAATGTGTACATGAATTCTGAAAAAAATCCGAAAACAAAGAGAGACATCCACAAACGTATTTGTCTATAGCAAAAAACTCAATTTTTTTGCTGAAATAATGAAATTATCGTTACTTTTTCGGTCTCTGTAAGTAAATTGTTCTGTAGAATTATTTTATAAGCGTTTTCCAAATTCCGATTAGATTGACCGTCATAGGCTGCGACGCAGGCTTCGCGAACTACCAGTGCTACGATATGTACCCTTCTTGAGTCGTCTTCCGGTATTGGCTTGCCGTGCCCAAAGAATGAGTTCGTACTTTCCATAACCTAATTTTATCTTAAAAAGAGAGAAAACAATTCTTTATTGATTTGTTAATGTTTGGGAAACGAGACATGCATGCAGTCCCCTTACACATAAAGGTACGCACTTTTAAAGTTAATGAATTATCACAAGAAGAGATGTTGGGTGTAAAATATCTAAGACGCCTCCTCTTATATCTTTCTTTTCTTTTGTTCCAAATTTCTTTATGTGGTTAATTTTCAAAGGAATGATTCTATCAAAGAAGAGTTGGATAGTGAATATTTGTGTGCTGATGCTATGAAAAAAACCTCGTAAACTTTATGAGCGATCTTCAGGTCTAGACAGCAATGTTAGAACGATCTAGACCGTTGTACTATTGTTTAGAGGAAAAAATTTATTTGGCATGCATTGCACATCGGCATATACTGTATGTATATGACATCCCAACGGATTTATGAACCCTGATGAATAATAAGATCGGATTTTATGATTTTCATAACCATAATAGAGCATTAAATGTTTTTAACTATAGAAATTTGTGTAATTCTTACGTATGTCAATATTTTATTTATTAAATGGCATGATCTTTAAACATAATCACAAGAAAGGTCCAGACATATTCCAATCCCCCGAAATTTTTTTTCTCTGTTCTCTAATTCGCTTAATTTTTAAATGACATCTATTAGGGCGACTCCGAACGCCGATGCAACGGATTCCAAAATTGGATAGATGTGTGCATATGTACATGCGTTACAACTTTTGTCGAAAAAACTATTTTTCGTAACCCAATTCTTAAATGATATAATATTTGGTTTTATTTTACATACATTGAAAAAACGGAACTTTCTGTAAATTCCAATTTACTTTGTATAATGTTCATGATCGTGAAAGTTAAAAGTGAAGGGGGCATTAACTCGCACATAAAAAAACATTTTGTTAATAATGCTAATCAGTTTGGAAATTTAAAAATATTTTTAATATTTTATAGTTCTAATACAATATACAGTATATTATATACAGAATATAGATTTTTTTTATCATAAAAGGGCATTAGATGCAAAACTCTATTAATGTATATATGTGATACATAGATTACATCTTTACAATTGTAAGTTAATGTTAAATTATCTATTGATGCTAACTAAGACTATCCTCATTACACTTGATATGGTTTTGATATTGGATGGTTAATTCCCTTCCAAAGCTAAGCTAAAGTCCTGAGACTTGAAAAGATTATTCAAATATGTGAATTGTGAGTTTGTTAAAGATATAATTCTATAGAGTAAGTTTGAGTCAGGATGGCTAATGTTACTGGTTTTATTTTTTTGTCAGAGGACTTAGTAAAAGATCTAGTTTATTTGATTCCTGATGCTATTGAAATATTTGTTGTTACTAATCTTGGCAGCCGGATTAGAGTGTACAGAAGTTTTAGCATACTATCTATTAGCTTGACATGTGACTTGTTTGAAAACTTGATATTGAAATTTGTTAAACCACATACAAATTTTTCAAGAAATATTTTTTTGTTAAGTATAAAAACAGCAATCTGTTCTGTTGTAACATATAAGATTGTAGATTCAGTTTTGTTTAGAAGATTGATTATTTTTGACTTTAGTTTGGTTTTGATTTCAATATAAACCTTTCTGTTTTTGTAATACTTGAAAGTATAACTCTGTATTTTTACAACTATTAGATATCTTGAATAGAGGTTGTTTATTATTATAGTTGCCAATAGTAATATAATTGATATTGTTGTTATAATTGTTATTATTGTAATATAAAACCAGTTTAAATAGGTTAAGTTTTTGTTTTGATTTTTAAATAAAATTTGATTAAATAATTGAAGAGTGCTAATAATCTAGAAAAAATAAACTGATTTTGATTTTTTGGCTAGATAAAAATATTGAAAAACTTGAAATGACATAGCAAGTATTATTATGATATAATTGAATTTGAGAATTAATTTGAAACAAACAGTAGATCTACTAACTTTGTTTAAGTATATATTTGGAAAGTATTTGGCTTAGTGAATATAATAATAATAATATGAATAGTTTTTTTAATAAAATAAAGATAAGGAAGGATGCAAGAGAACAAAAGAATAAAGAACTGCTATAAACCTTTTCTTATATAATTAAAGGATAAATAAAACTTTCAAACTTGAATAAATTTTGATCAAAGATTTTATTCACTAAACTAATTATCTTAAAGATTCTTAAGTTCTTGAGTTGAAGCTTATTTGTAATAAAGAGTATAAAATATTTTTCTTATTTAAAATTATTATAAAAGAAAAATTTTTAATAAAACAAATATAATTAGAAAAGAGTTTTTTAAAATTTTTTGGACTTTGCTTCAATATTTTTAAATAAATTTATTAATTAAGTATTAATAAAATTTTAATATTTTTTAATGAAAAATAAAAAAAAACTCTTTCCCAAAAATTTTGTATCACTTAAAAATTTCCTTTTTTAGTAACTGACAAAATTCTAAGGAGAAGC